CACCACAACAAACGACCACAGCCACTCACCACAACAGCCAACCATCACAACCACCGCCATAACCACCCACCACAACCGGTCACCACAACCACCACCACAACAAACTTCCACAACCACCCACAACAACCAACTACCACAACCAACCACCACAGCCAGCCATCACAACCACCACCACAACCACCACAGCCAACCACCACAGCCAACCACCACAACCGCCCACCACAACAACCAACTACCACCACCAACCATCACAACAAACCACCTCAACCATCATAACAGACAACCACCCACCACAACAACCACCACAGCCAACCACCACAGCCAACCACCACAACCAACTACCATAACTACTCACCCCAACCACCCACAGCAACCAACTACCACAACCAACCACCACAACCGCCCACCACAACAACCAACTACCACAACCAACCATCACAACCAACCACCTCAACCACCATAACAACCACCACCACAATAAACTACCACAACCACCTACCACAACAACCAACTATCACAACCAACCACCACAACCACAACTACCCACTACCATAACCAACTACTACAACCACCCACCACAACAACCACCTACCATAACCACCCACTACAACCACCATAACAGACGACCACAACCACCACAATAAACTACCACAACCACCCACCACAACCATCCATTACAACAAACTACTACAACCACCCACCACAGCCACCACCACAACCAACTACCACAACCACCCACCACAACCACACACAACTACCACAACCACCCACAATAACCAAATGCCACAACCAACCAGCACAGCAACCAATCACCACAACCACCACCATACTTGACCACCATAACCACCAAGCCTTGGTAGACACTCTGTGTTCTGGGGCTTCCTCAGTAGCCCTGGTGTCATTTTGCAGACATTGATTGCTTAATGCCTGTCTTGGCTTGCTTCCCCTCTGCTCAGGGGGAGCAGAAGCTTGTCCCCGGTCACACTAACTTCGTGGCAGGGCCTGCGCTCAGACCCCATTGTCTTCAATGTGTCTTTCTTTCTGTTCCTGCCCTGTACTCCACCTGCACTTGGTTTCCCCTCTCCCCTTTCCCACCAGCTACTAATCATTCTTCTGTCTCCATAGTTCTACTTTTTCCGGATGTCAAATAAATGGAATCATGCGAATGCAGGTCCTTGAGTCTGGCTTCTTTCACTTAGCATCCTGCATGTATGGGTCGTGGTGCTGCTCTGTGCACCAGCAGCTCACTCCTCCACTGCGTGTACCATGTTGTTGATTCGCACACCGGGTGATGAGCATTTGGTTAATTCCAGTTGCTGGCGACTGTGAATAGAGCGTGCATCAAGGGGCCTGTACCACGCTGCTTGGACCATCTTGCAGTCCCAGCAAACTGTGAGCTCCAGGTGCCCACCATGCTACCAGATTTTTAGCCATTCAGATGGGTGTGTAGTCGTGTCTCATTGTGGTTTTAATGTGCGTTTCCTGATGATATATGACAAATGGAAACTTTTCGTAGTCTTTTCTGCCACGGTGTGTCTTCTTCAGGGACGTGTCCTTTCAGGTGTTTCGTACATTTTTAACAGTGATTTGTTGCCTTCTTATTGTTGAGTTTTAAGAGTGTTTGTTTGTTTGTTTTTGGTTTTTTGGTTTTGTTTGGTTTGGGGTTTTTTTGGGGTAACGGTCCTTTATCAGGGGTGTCTTTGCTGGTATTTTTCCCAGGCTGTGGCTCGTCTTCTCATTTCTTACCAAGTGACCTTTAAACTTTCTGTTCCCAGTCTCCCTCCATGAGAGTTTAATACGACACATGCTGCATATCTGTTTACATAGTATACGCGTAACTGTGTTTTATACCGTTTATTGGTTATTTTACCAGTAAAAGATGGGTTTAGTTGGGAATGGCAGAGAGTTGCAGTCTAGGACAAGCATGCCACGGCAGAACCATGGGCAAGTCCAACAGAGGAGAGGCACGTTATTTTATGGAGAAGGAGGAAGTTGGGTGGGTCGTTTTGAAGGGAAGCCCGTTGGAGGAAAGCAGGGGTTCAGGGCGATGAGGGGTCTCACTGGCTGAGCTGTGGGAGTGGTGGGTTTCCTGTAGGAGCCGCAGTGCACACTTTCCCCTGGTGGGGCCCTGCCTGGTGGTTCTGTCTGTGGAGGGTTCTGATGTTGGGTCTGTAACCAGTGGTTGTTCCGTGATTGACACTGAGTGGTGGGCTCCCCCTTCCAGCCTCCCCTCCTGGCCTCCCCAGTCCCTTTATTCATTTTCATAATGCATGCAAAATGTTGTTTGTCCCCCGACAACCAATTTTTGCCTCTTTGGTGGCAATGTTGCTGCTGTTGAGAATGTTTGAGTTATAGGTACCTTATGGGTTTGATGCTGTTACAAAAGTTAGCTTTAAAAAATGTGCATGTTTTTGGGGCGCCTGGGTGGCTCAGTCGGTTAAGCGTCTGACTTTGGCTCAGGTCATGATCTCACTGTTTGTGGGGTCGAGCCCCGCGTCAGGCGCTGTGCAGACAGCTCAGAGCCTGGAGCCTGTTTCAGATTCTGTGTCTCCCTTCCCCTCCCCTGCTCATGCTCTCTGTCTCAATACTAAATAAACATTTTTTAAAAATGTGCATTTTTTCTAATTGCTCTCAATGTTACTAATTAACATTTGAATTCACCATGTTCTAAACACTAAACTATATGTTTTTTTAATTTTATTTTAACATCTATTCATCCCTGAGAGTGAGGGAGACAGAGCATGAGCAGGGGAGGGGCAGAGAGAGAGGGAGACACAGAACTTGAAGAGGGCTCCAGGCTCTGAGCTGTCAGCATAGAGCCTGACGTGGGACTTGAACTCGTGAACCACTAGTTCATGACTTGAGCCGAAGTCTGATGCTTAACCGACTGAGCCACCCAGGTGCCCCAATTTCTTGCTATTTTCTATCCATTTCTATACTGGGTTTCTGATTTCAGGTGTTTTTGTTCATTTGCTTGCTTACTTTAAGTACATTTCCAAAAGCTTTTTGAAGCCATGTGCTGCAACATGGACTGTTGAACTCTGGGCTTCTGTTCAGTGCTCGTTTGGGGGTGAGAGAATTTTCATCTGCTCAAATGCTTTGATTTGCACTTGTATTTTCTTCTTACAGCAGTTCTCAGTGGAGTTTGTCTTGATTTTTTTCTTACTCTTGCACATTCGGTAGATGGATATTCTAGGTCAAAGGAACTTCATACCGTTAATGTGTGAAGTGTCCTTTCTTTACTGGGTGGTGCGCTCTGGGTGGGGCCGGAGAGTGTCCCTGCTCCCTGTGCTGCTGTGGCTCATCCCTCCTGTGGGGCTTCACTTTCCACTCTGCCCGTCCCTGCGGCTGGGGTGTGGCCCCCCAGGCCCTGCCCGGGCAGTTAGATTTACTCTCTGCGGGCGCTTTTGTCTGGTTTCTGTCTGCCTTTGACTCCCTCTCAGTGTCTTAACCTCACGCCTGCCCTCCGCGCCTGTAGACCCGCAGAAACGCTGCGGCTGGTTGGAATCCGTCCCCCTCTCCCTCCTTACAGGTGTTTTGAGGTCTGTGATGCCTCATGGTAGTGCCAGAAGCAGGGCCCACACATCATCTTACTTGTGGTTCTGTGGTATTGGTGGAGGCTGTAACCCCACATAACATCTGTTGTACTTAGTATTCACATGTGGTCCTGTGTGCTTTAAACCCTAGACGGCCTCCTGACTTCAGTAAACCACCGCGGTCCTGTTCAAGCCGTAGAACCCATCTCCACGTCTGTCTACAAAAAACAGAGTTTTGTGCTTTCCCCCTTTTCTACCCAAGAAGGTATGTGATCTTTCACCTCCACAAAACCCTTGCATCAAGTTACGAAATGTGGTTTCCTTGTTCACAAGCCATTTCTCTGTTTCCGTTTCCACTAGAAATGTCAGGTTTGTCGTTCCACGTTGCTTCCCTGGAGGAGAGTGGGGTTCTCAACGTTTGGGTGAGTAGGACGTGCCCAGGACGCATGCAGGGCAGCACCAACTGCGTGCACGGGCTCTCTGAGCCGCTAGTTTACGTGGGAGTCCGGGGGGTGCCTCGTGTCGGACGGCCACATGCCTGTCTCGGACGGGAAAACCGAGGGTCCGGCTGGATTGGCTGGGCGCCTCCTACAGGGGTTCGTGGGGGAGTACGAGGGGCGGCTGGGGACGCGGTCTTGGGGGCCGCGCCGCTGGCCCGTGTGAGTGAGGAGAAGTGAAAAGAGGTCAAAGAGAGGGATTCCCGACATTTAGATGCCAGTTCTCAAGGCAGCGAGCAGTCTCGTCTGGAGCAGGTCCGTATTCAGCACCGAATGCCGCACGCTGTCTTGACTGGAGCGGCTCTGTGCTTAGGTCGCACCCTGGCGCCCGGACGCTCATTTCCACGCTCTGTTTGCAGGTGGTGGTTGAACTACCGAAGGCAGATCTCGCAGGCTCACTAAGTGACTTAGGTAACTATGAAATACAAAAACTCATTTTAGTCAATGTTTTCTAGAATGAGTGGAGATTAAAGAAGGGTACTGGCAACCACTTTGAAAAATAAGTACTTCGCTGCCTGAGAAAGGAACGTTAGCGTTCTGTATCGCATGACCTTGTCGGCCAGCGGATCGGCCCCTTGGTGTGATTAAGCCATAGTGCTTGCAGCTGACGATGTTCTCATTTCTGTCCCCGCCTGTGTCGTTCTGCTCTGTTCTCTGTGCCCCTTCCGTTCACTCAGGAGTCTCAGTCCTTGAGTGCACATTCAGGCCGTGTTCCCTTTGGTTTTGACATGTCAGTTCCTCGGTATGACTCCCCAGGGGCTCTCGGAGCCCAGCGTGGGTGGAGGGCTCGTCCTGGTGCCTGGGGAGCCGCAGCATTTACTGAGCCAGCCTTGGGCTCGCTGCGCAGGAGAACCGGACGAGAGGCCCCCCAGGAGTCCCAGGCAAGGCTGTACTGGGGCCTGTGCTCCAAAAAGGAGGTGTGTGAACGAAGGGTCCTCAGGCTGGCTCCCCAGGAGGGGCTGGCAAGAACTTCAAAGAAACTTTGGTGGGAAAAGGGTGCTGTCTGAACAGGCGGGAAGGGAGGGGGGCGGGCGGGGTTGTGTATGGGGGCTTGTGCACTTACACGTCATGCTTAGAGCTTCTTGCTACACCGTGTATCTAATTAGCATGTTAAACCCCACCCCTGGGTGTGGCTTTTAGTATCATAATGAGGGGAGAGTCCTGAAAGGTCATCGCTGGGGTCCATCTTGGCTCAGACTGGTTTGGTCTGGTTCTCACAGCTGAACTTCCTTTTTTTGTGCTGGAGGGTTAGCATGGAGTCTGAACTGGAGCAGACCGGTCAAAAACCGGGCCTTGGGGGCTTGTTTGGAGCTTGTGGCTTCTGGCATCTGGCTTAGTTTCTGGTGGCAAGCAGCACGTGTAAGCAGGAGTCCTGGTCCCTGGTCTGGCTCAGAAGTGGGCTCATCGGTAGCAGTTTGCTGTTTTCGATGCTGTGGCGTCTGGTTTTCAGTTCCGGCGAGGCTCGGGGCCCGGGGACCAGGGGACAGTGGAGCCTCGTGCTCCTGGACGCTCTCTTCACATCATTAGCTCCCCCGCCTGCTTCCCAGTGGCCGGCCCCCTTCACCCTGTCTGTCAGGGGTCTGACCCTCATCTTCTTCCCACTGTCCTATGTCAGTGCAGCTGGTGCTGCAGGCTTCCTGGTCAGTGTCACAGGCGGTCCTTGGAAGTTACCGAGGGCTCTGGCTTCCTTAAGAACAAGGCGGAATCACTTCACTGATTTCACTGGTAAACGTTTTGAGGCAGAGTAAACGTTTCTCTCAGTGTTTTCTTATAGCAGCCTCTCTGCTTATTACGAAACCATTATACTGAGCCTGTGTGAGACCTTTGGGTGGTTCACAGAGTCTCGGAACGTTAGAGCGGGACAGCGTCTGGGAGGTGGTCATCCCCTTTTTAGCATGGATTCACGGTGGGGCCGGACCCCTGGCTGGGCTCACCCAGGCCTCTGCCCTGACCCAAGAGCGCTGCAGCCTGGGGAGCACAGCTTCAGGCTGTCTGTGTTGCTCACTTGTGCTATGACCAGGGCCTTTTTTAGGAATTTTGGAGGGTAGTAAGGATTAGAGAGTCTCCGCCCATAGTTCGTTCATAATCTTTCTGTGGAGACAAAATCGTCTGGAATAAAAATACTTCATAGGAATATGGAAGTCACACCAAAGTTATTGCAGGACAGTGTGTATTTCATTGCTAAATGTTGCTATAGAAAGACTCCCTCTGTCTGTAGGACCCTAACCCAAACTCTGACCACGTTTCAACTTTGCTTTTAGGAAAAGAGGGGATGACCTTCCTGGAAAGGCTCTGGCCATAGATGTCCGTATGCTTGGGGTGGCTCCCAGCTCTTCTGTGTGCATGACAGTAGTGGCTGGTTGGAGAACTCAGATCATGGTTAGCACTAAGCCTTTGCCATCTTTCCTTCGTCTGTCGATGAAAGTTCTCTGAACAGGCTCGGTCCTGTCTTGGGTGTCAGGGAAGCAAGGGGACAGGCCACTGGCTCTGCCCCAGGGAGTGTAGTCTCCTGGGGAGGCTGGCATGCGAACCACAGTGGTCGCTGATGTGACTGCTAGATCAGAAGTGCTCCTCAGGGGCTGAGCACCCAGGTCAGGGACCTTCCCAGGGGAGGTCACATTTGGGCTGAGACTCTCGGGCCTGGAGTTCTTGTAAGAGGACAGCGTGCTGGAGAAAATGGAGGTCATTTTCAAGTCTGTGACAGCAACATGAACATTCTTGCAGCAGAGTTGGAACTGTGGCAGAACCCATCATATGTAATTACAGTCGCCCTTTTTGTTGTAAGTTGAACTTATCTGTATAGTTAGGGCTTATACACTCCCTAGGTTCTAGGCAGTACCTTGCCCAGAATTTGGGTTTCAATATGCATCAGGTTTTAGTTACCTCCTTTGCAATAATTACAAAAGAGGGGGAGGATATTGGAAACAGGTGGAGGCAAAGCCAGTGAATGGCTGAGGGGTCCGAGTTGTGGCCATAAGTGCTTTGGGAGTCCGGGGAAGTTCTGGTGCAGGGAAGGGGGTGTGGACACTGAAGAGCGGGTGCCCCTGTGCATCCCGCAGCAGAGAGGTGGCCTTCAGGTGTGCTGTGCATTTGTGCTGGGTGCTCCTGAGGAGCGTGAGACCACCAGTGCGCATTTGCAGCTAAGTATTGCTGTTGGGAACTTCAGGGTTTTTTGGTTTTGCTTTTGTTTTGCTTAGTGTCCTGCCATTGTTTTATGCTATCAAATCTAAAAATGTAAAGGCTTCCTGATTGGTTCCACCAGCACTTTTCTCATAAGGCAGTACAGGAGCCTCGGCTGCATTATGGAGGGAATACTCTTCATGGGCCCACGTTTTGATGTTAACTTCCTAACACACATATTTAAGCAATGAAAAATGATTCGAGGCAACTGTAATTGGATTTTGGTTTAACTTGTATTAAGAGGTACATTTATTTATGGTTTTCCTATCTTTAGGTTTAATACCTGGAGGGAGGATAAAATTGGTGCACAGCGCCACGATTCAGCTGAGCGACAGGTAAGACCGTGTCACCTTGAGTTAGAATACTGCCTTTGTCTCACGAAAACCTCTTCTGCAGAAGGAAATAACATTAGGGAGTTGCAAATAAAGTAAATGCATGGTCAGGGTTTGCATTGAAAAATGCAACTTTTCACATAGTATTTTTGCTAAATAGTTTATGTGCTAATTAGTTTAATATTAATGAGTCAGTGTAATAAACACAGTTACCAGGTATAGAGCTAACATTTTTTTCTTTGATTACAATAATTTCTATCTTAGGGGAGCCTGGGTGGCTCAGTTGGTTAAGCATTTGAGTCTTGATTTCGGCCCAGGTCACGATCTCACGGTCATGAGATCAAGCCCTGAGTCAGACTGTGCACTGACAGTGCAGAGCCTGCTTGGGATTCCCTTTCCCTTCCTCTCTACCCTTCCTCCAAACTCACTCTCTCTCTCTCTCTCTCAAAACAAATCATCTTTAAAAAGAATAATAGGGGCGCCTGGGTGGCGCAGTCGGTTAAGCGTCCGACTTCAGCCAGGTCACGATCTCGTGGTCCGTGAGTTCGAGCCCCGCGTCGGGCTCTGGGCTGATGGCTCAGAGCCTGGAGCCTGTTTCCGATTCTGTGTCTCCCTCTCTCTCTGCCCCTCCCCCGTTCATGCTCTGTCTCTCTCTCTCGCAAAAATAAATAAACATTGAAAAAAAAATTAAAAAAAAAAAAATAAAAAGAATAATAATTTCTATCTTATAAGTCGGTACTATTTGACTGTTTTTCATCCAGTTTTAATACAACTCTGAAGTTAAATAGGTAAGTTTCAGGAACCAGAAACACCAATATGAAATTTATTTTGAGAAATGTTGATTTCTGCTTTTACTGCTATAACTTAATGTGACATAAAAATTCTTATTCAGTAGACAAGTATTATTTGTGGTATTTCTATATTCCACGTTGATTTGTTTCCCAGGCCTCTTTTTTCTTGTCGATTACTGCAGTTGGAGGCTATCAGCATATGACTTACCCTTGAAAATTTTTTTATATTAGCCTGATTCTTCATCATCAGCCAGACACATCTGGGTTGTGTTAATAAATTTGTATACACTCTGAGATTGCAGATCGCCTTTAGTTGGTTTGAATATAATTATTACAGGGAATCAGTTACATTTTAAAAAGTCCCCTAGTACCTTGTAGAACCAACCCCAGGTTCTTGATTGGTTCTGGGCTTGTCTCAGGCCCTTGGCCCCTCCCTGAACCTCCCCAGGAGTTGGGGAGGGGTCCTCTGAGATGGAAGGATGACCAAGAGCTTGCTCGATCAGAGGGAGAGGGTGTGTGGGAGGCCCAGAGGCATGAGCACCAGACACATTTAGGAAACTGCCGGTAGGTTGCTGCTGGGGGAAATGCGGAGATGGGGACGAGTCCCTGGCCAGGCCTCAGAGTGTTTGCTGTGCTGAAGGGTCGAGACTGTTCTCTTGCAGGAGGTAGGGAGCCGGTATAGGATTTTAAGGCAGCGAATAAGTAGCCTGTCCTATTTGTGATCTGGCACGACCGACTTGGCAGCAGTGTGAGATCGGACAGAGGAAGGGAGACTGGAGGTGGGGAGATTGTCAGGAGGCTGTGGCAGGGTTGATAACAAAGATGAGAGTGTGAAGCAGGGTGGCCATTGTGCATACGGAAGGGCTGATTTCTGTTAAAGGGGTAGAACTGAAGAAACCTGGTGACTGACAGTTTCAAGGAACTGCCTCTCGCCAGGTGCCTGTCTCAGCTGCTGGGTATCACACACCAGATGAAGGAAGGGGGCAGGATCTGGTCACCGCCTACGGTGGGCTGGGCTCGTGGTGTTTGTGGAGATGACCGGGAGGTAGCCAGCTCCACCGCAGGGATCTCGGTTAGAGGCACGGACTTGGGAGTCCTTGGCTGACAGGTGACGTTTGCAGTCCTGGATGTGGGCGTGGGAGAGAGTGGCCAGAGTCCTGACTTCTGACTCTGGCGACATGGTAGAAGGAGGGGCCACGGGTCCTTTCCTGTTACAGACACATATGCTGTATAGAGTTAAACTAACAATAAACTGAAGAGAGTTTTTCCAAAGAAGAAGAGGACAGTGCCAGGACAGGAATGGAGCTTGGAGTAAGTGTGCAAGATTTTGTGTGGTGTGGAGGCCAAGGTATCAGGTGAGGCTGTCGTAGGCCTCTTGGCTGTGCGGGGCTCAAGCCAGTGATGCATCAGGCTTGCCTGAGGCTGGCAGCTGGAATTGAGAGCCCTGTGCAGGACTCTGGAACTCACGGCCCCTTCGGTGAGAGAGAAACTCAGGAGGCCTCACCCCAGCCCAGGGGAGACCAGGGACCATGGAAGACCTAGAACCCCAAGCTCTGGGTCTGGACTGGGGTCCCCAACCGAGAGGCAGCGTCAGAGTCTCAGACCAGTGGCTCAGCATCAAGGCCCTGGGACAGCTGCCTGGTGGGCGGTGTCAGAAGGTGGAGGAGGAGGGACTGTCCCCTGACACTGAGAAGGCGCCTTGAGACTAGGAAACAGTAGGCGACTCCATCGAGTTTACACAGCATTTTATCCAGGGTGACTTAACTAAGAGGGAGGATTGAGCCAGGGACAATCCAGAGCTGCACAGCTATTCTCTGCGAGGCTCAGACCTGAGTCCACAGCTTATGTAGAGTGAGGGATGTGCGGAAAGGCATAGTGGTGAGGTCAGGGGGTTCGCGTGCATCGCGGAGAATTCGTATGCACCTAATTGCAAGCTAACCTTTAATTCGATCTCCTGGTGCCATCTGTGCACCAGGAAGGGGAGACCCTATGTCATCTTCAACAAATCTGTGGATAGCCAAAGCAAGCCTCCCCCAATCCTGGCCTTAGTGGTCATTTCTGAGGTACGTATCTTCATCTCCGAGGGGCCCAGAACATGTAGCCCCGAGAGAGGATGTGCACAAGACGGAGTCAGTGTCGTCAGCACTTCCCCCTGCAGGGGGATGCTTCCATAGGCTGGGCTTCCGGGGCTCTCAGAGGATACGGTTCACAGAGAAAAATTACAAAAACTGTAAGCATGAAAAAAGATCTACCATGGCCTAACAAATAGGGTTAGCACAACAAGAACTTGAGATGATGGTACAATCTAAAGGACATTTCTAGAAAGAAACTATCATCTCTGAAATTTAAGAGTCAGTGAATGGTTAGGTGGGTGAGACCGAGCTGAAGAAAGAATCAGCGAACGAGGGACCAGAGCTGGAGAAGTTGTCTAGCGCCTAGGGAACATACGAAGAAACGGAGAAAGAGCAGTCAAGAATTGCAGAGGAAGCGTGGGATCACCTGTTCCTCTGCGGGCACATGGCGAGGACTGAATGCGTTAAGTGGCATCATCCCTGCCACCTCAGTTCATCTGTTCATCTTTCCGTTTCTTTCCAGCCTTTCCCATAAAGGCTATGAATTCTGGGGGGCCGCACAAACCCTCAGTGTGAAGTTTCTTCCTTCAGATCCTGGTCACTTCATTGTTGGCACAGACATGGTAAGTAATAGTTTAAATCTTATCTGTAACTCATTCTCCTTTCCTGGCTGCCTGTTAACGTATTGTTTGCTTTGATTGTGATGCTGTTTTAATTGTTTCAAGAGTAACCGCTTTATCCAGCCTCGTACCTAATCCACTTTAGTCACCATTGGTCTTCTTATCACCAGGGTCTTATAAGTCATGGCACCAGACAGGACTTGAGAGTATCTCCCAAATTGTACAAACCCCAGCAATGTGGGATGAGACCAGTCAGAGTGCATGTGATGGATTTTTCACCATTTGGAGAACCAATATTCTTGGTAAGAAAGTCAGTTGTTAAAGTACCACTTCCGTTTGGGTGGCAAAGCACTGGCAGTGACCTCGGGGAATGTCACTCTGGTACCAGTGGGCTGCGTGGGAGAAGGTCCCCTCCGTGCCATCAGAGTGGCTCATTCCACATCGCTGTTGAATGGATCTTAAAAGTCTTTATCTTCACATAGTTTGGGGCTTACAGAAAAGTTACAAGAAGCTGCCCACCAATCACACGTTTCCCTCCGTGGCTCCACCCTCTCTCTCCCAGTTTTGTGTTGGTGTACGCACTTCTCTGTATGAGAGGAAGTTGCACAGATGGTGCTTCATCCCTAAGTAGTGCGGTGTGGGTTTCTGAAGAACGGGGTCATTCTCCTGCAGCCACAGTCCAGTCCTGACCAGCAGGAAGCTAGCACTGGCGCAGTCCTGTCTTCTGATGGACAAGGCTCTTCCACGTTCCACGGCCATCCCGATAATGTCCTGCTGTGTAAGCAAAATAACACCCAGGTTGCGAATCTCATTCGGTTTGGGAACAGTTCCTCAGTCTCTCCTGCCCTTGACATTTTTGAAGTCTTGGAATTCTCCCCAGTTTGAGTCTGTGTGACGTTTCCTCACGATTAGATTCAGTGTTGCTCTGACCTGTGTCTCCCGGCTCCCTCCGCGGTGGAGTCACCACTTTCCCTGTCTGGTTACCGAGTATCTGTGGGGAGATAAAGGGACACTATGTCAGCACCCCACGTACGGCCCCTCCGATCCCCCTGCTGGCCCTGGCATCCCTCGGCGAGGCTTGCCTGCATCTGCTATTGGGGCGATTGGCAGATGGTGATTTTCTAGGCCTTTCCCTTGTCTCCTGCGCAGGTGTGCTTGTGTGTATTTATTACATGTGTGTGGACACGTGGCTGTTCACTCTCTTCATTGGGTTACATCCCTCACCGTACTGCCTTATTGATTCCGCTGCTCAGACTGTCCTAGGGATGTGCCTCAGGCTGGTTTTGTGTTTTCTGACATCATTCTGTGAGCCGTTCTTTGCTTCCTGGTACAGCAAACTCAGAATCAGCCTTTTTTCCAAGAGGTCCTGGCTCCAGTCAGGAGAAAAATACCTACCAACCAGAACCTGGGCAGGAAGAAGCGCTCCTTGGACAGGACACAACATCGCTACACGCTCGGATCTTTGTCTGCTTATCATAAACACGTGCTTGTCCCTTGTCTTTAAAGCCAGGGTGACTCAGGGCTCCCTCTATCCCCCGACAGTGGGGGACCTGGCTCCTCCGACCCGTGTCGTATGTTTATGTGCTCAACCCTAGGGTACACAGAACATTTTGTGGTTGCTAACTCATGCCTCTGCTCTTTTTGAGGAAGGATGTGAGGATTAAATATATTGAGTAAAAAGGAATTAAGCTTCTCTTCCTAAGCTTAAAATTTGGTTTTTTACTAAATAAGCCAAGTTTCATTTTATAAAAACTTCAATCCAAGGAGAATATATCACTTATTGGTTCAAATTTATGTACTTTTTTAAAAAAGGCGGTTCTTTATTTCTCTGGAGCCAGTCTGAATGGCCTGTGGGCGAATTAGCAACGTTCAACTTTGTTAAAGATAAACACTGGTTTATATGTTCCCTGAATTCATCATTAGCCATTTGGGGAAGGGGAAGGGTTCAAGGTGTATCAGGGTCTCCAGGGTGGATGCTCACCTTTGTAGTTTATGAGGACAGAGCTAATGCTCTGAGTGTCCCTCGCTGCTGAGGTTGAGGGAACAAGAAAAAAGGACCGTGATGGGCAGTGTCCTTCCCTGTCCCCAGGCTGGCTGTTCCGACGGAAGCATCAGGCTGCATCAGCTGACCAGCGAGTGCCCTCTCCTGCAGTGGGACGGTGGCACCGATGGCCGTGCCATCACGGGCCTGCGCTGGTCCTTGACCAGACCTGCCGTGTTTCTGGCCCAGGATGACACTTCCTGCATTTATATTTGGGACCTCCTGGAAAGCGATTTGGGTCCTGTGGCCAAACAGCTGATCTCTCCGGACAAGTAAGTCTGATGAAACCTCCGTGCCCTCACAGGTAGTTGTTTTCGGAAGCATCCTTGCTGGTCTTTCGTACTTAATTTATGCGTAAGGTTGCTGAGCTTTAAAATGTGGCTATTTATGTTTAAATAGTTTTTATATTTACATCTTTAAGTGATATTTTGAGAACCACTTTAAAATGTGTTATTTCATGTTTCGTCCAGAATAGTCTGTGGATTAAAGAATTCACACTATACTATTTTCCCATGATATCATTGTCTAAATAAAACAAACTTTTTGTGAGCTCCTTAGTTACATTCATTTATTGGTCTTATAAATTCAGTACACTTCTGAGCCACATAGCGTCCACCTTCTAGTTTCGGAGAAGGGTTACCACATGGGAATCAATAATTGACGTAAGTTCACATCAGTGTCAGTTGCTGCCATGGACTGAGGTCACAGTCAGACCAGCCCCCGCCTGTCTCTGCTCTGATTAACATGAAAACAAGCCCGGTCATGATCCGTTGTTGTTTCGTTTAATCGAAAGTTGAGAATGTATAAAGTGATCACTGTGAAAGACTCTCTCTTGACTCTGCTTTGTCTCTACACCTGTTTTCTTTCTTGAGATTTTATTTTTCTCCTCAGTAAGCTCTCCTGCTATGAAATGAAGGCTGCCAGTGACTGGGGGAGGGCAGGGCCGCTCGGCCGCATCCCACGTCCTTTTGTAGAGGAGAGGGGGGAACAAGCAGTGATCAAAACCGGGACACAGTTTGACCGAACGTTGGGGCGCACCACTGAGACCTGAAAAAATTAAGAACCTCATTTACTTAGTTCAAGTACTAGGTACACTTACGTTATTCTAATTGCTAAGCAAAGACATCATTAAAATCTAGACTGTGATCCACACATAAACATGTAACACGCACACACACTCACGTAGTGCGACAAGTGCTTACGAGCACCTACTGTGCGCCTAGCAGCACTGCCAGCACCAGGGGGCGGTGGTGAACCAGCTGGAGGGCTCACCTCCTGACTTGGGGCGAGGTGGGTAGTAAACACACTGAAGTCAACTCGCAGCTCCCACAACCGGTGAGGAGGGGGGGGCTGGGGGTCTCGGGGCCAGGGACGGTGGGGGCCAGCCAGAGCGCCGGGGTCTCAGGAGAGGGCAGCGAGTGGGCCTGCGCAGAGCCAGGGAGCTGCTGAGGCGGAGCGGGAGAGAGGCTTCGGAGAGGGTGGAGTGTCCTTCCCGAGGCCCGTCCCGTCCCTGGTTGGCAGCAGCGTTTAGTTAGAGGAGTGGTATTCACAGAAAGGGCTCAGCGTCTCTTTGGTGTAGAGAACAGAACAAGAAGAAAATAACCCTGTAAACCGTGAAACCGTCTCACAAACCCGAAGAGCGTTTTCCCTGGACAGCGACCGTGCTGACTGGTGTTCCCGCATCTACCCGGGTGGTTGTCATGCGGGTCCGGTTCAGCGGTGCCCGTGGCACGCGCCTTCGTGTTTGTCCTGCTCTTGTTTCCAAGTTTGTGGCAGTTAAGTGTCCCCTGTATTTTGCGCTGGTGGTCGCACGCCAGCGTTGAAGTACCAGGTAGCGCTAAGTGACCGCTGCGGGTTTTCATGGCTCGCTCACCTGCCCCGAGCTTCTCCAGAGCGCGGCCTGCAGGCAGGTGTAGACTGGCCCGCCCCACAGAGGCTCAGTCAGGTCTCTGTCGGGGTGTGGGGACAAGTTTACAGAGGATTAGTGGGCAGCAGACCCTTGGGGCCACAATGGGTGCTACCTGCGGCCGCCGGCACCCACCTCGAGGGGCTCACTGCTCCCATCCTGTGCCAGTCGTGGATCCCACTGAACGTGGCCCCCGGGTGTGCTGGTGGCCCTGGTCATTACGAGGAGATGGGAGGGGCAGGAGCATTGAGGTAGGTGTGAGGTGGGACGGTCTCGGCTCTCTTGCTGAGTAAAGCTGGGACGAAAGCGTGACAGAGGCATTCCCAGGATGCTGGGGACCCTGACCAAATTAGGCACAGTCAGGCCATGTCAGGGGTCGGGGAGGCCCCTGGAGGTGACACCACTCAGCCAGGTGTCAAAGGATAAGAGGAAGATGGGCAGAGAGAGTGTCCAGGTGCCTCGTGGGAACTGGGGTCTGGGTGGCCTTGAGTAGGCCTGGGATGCACGTTGTTATCAGCAGACTGTGAGGGGAGAGGTTAGAGACAGGCCCCCGTCAGAGAAGCCAGGGTGACGGGACGGGAGGCGAGGTCAGGGCTGCTGGGCCGGCTCCAGGTCTCTCGCTGGGCACCCGAAGCCTGCTGGCACCCCCGGTCTCCAGGAGGACCAAGCTGGCTGGGTGGTCTGGCGCCCAGGACATTGACCTGGCCTGGGTACACAGGTGTCCCAAGGCAGTGCTTCCTGATCAGTGATCCTCACAAACACAGAAATATGTTTTCTAAGTGCTTTCCCCAGAATTTTATACGTTTATTTCTGGTCTAACTGTTCTTTCATGTGACTATGACTGAAATTTTTAGAATTTCCCTTCCTTTTTACTCCTCCCTTGGAGGATAGATGCTTTGGGAGACTCACAGTCACACGGTATGTGCCTCTCGCTTTCAGGCTGGTGGCCATGACGATCGTGGGTGAGGCAGAGAAGGCCAGCGGCGGCTTCCTGGCCCTGGTGCTGGCCAGGGCCTCCGGCAGCGTGGACGTCCAGTTCCTGAAGAGGGTGTGGGCGGCCCCCGCGGGAGACGAGCTCGGGAGGCTGCGGCTGCTCTTGCGGGAAGCTCTGTAGGAGGGGGCGCGGTAAGATGGCGGGCGCAGGCCGCCTGGTGACCGAGCGGGAAAGGTGTAGCTCCGTCCGCGGGCATGTGCGTTGATGTAGATAGACGACGGGTATTCTGCATGTAACTTACTCTACGAGAATGTCACCTCACGTTCCCGGGAAATAAATCGCTATTTTTGAATGGAAGCAACAAACATTTGAGTGCACACTGAACTTGAGAGGAAACAGTCATGGCAATCATGCTCTTCTCTGAGTATATTTCCACTTATTTTTGGAACAGGTTTAAAATATTGGCACATTTATATTTAAACAGTCCCCCATGACAATGTATTTTAGTGAACAGTTTTCTCGGTCATGCAGAAAAGGACATACACGGGGTGTAGATTAGAAGGAGCGCCTTTATTGAAATCACGTCTACCAGTCACGTTTCCTTAAAACCTCCTTGGGCTTCGTTGGCATTATTTGACACATTCTGCATTATGCTTTAGTGTTTAAAATGTCTCTGTATAAAAATAACACAAGTAAATAAATTCTCTTTTGAATGTGGCACTCCGTTATAACAGGGATATAAAGGCGGGAGAAATCTGGGCTGAGATCTGGGAAAGCCGAGGACGGCCTTTGCCAACGGCCACTGTTACCGGCCTCGTGACGGGTGTGGATGGGCAGCGAGGGCCCAGGCCGGGGTTCAGTCCCTCTGGCCACACGTGACTTCTGCCTAGCCAGCCACGGGAAAGTCTCACTGCAGAACTGGAGCATCGTTCACAGGGAGGGGTTCCGGGAGGCCACCTACCCATGTCACCCGAAGCCCTGGGATAGTCATTTGTCACCTGTGTGTAAACGTGTGCGTGTCTGGCTTGTTTGGTGGGTGTGCTCTGCCTCCTTCGCTGGCCCGGGAGCTCTGTGGACAGAGACGCGTGCGTCTGCTCACCATCGTCTCCCAGAGCTGCGTGCCTGCCCTGTGCTGCCGGTCGGCACTCAGCCAACGGTGGAGGAAGGGAGGAAGGGAGGCCTGGTGGTCGAGAGATGGCAGGGAGCTCTCGCTAATGCAGAGCGGGGTCCTACCAGAATGCCATGTTTCATGGCTGGATATGGAGATTTTAATTCTGGAAATAGGCTCGTCCCCCTGTCCCCTCGTCTACCCGTCCCCATCTGCAAATCCTGATTTGTGAAATTTGACCTAAACTGGAACTGAGAGGAATCTAGCTACTCCTCCAGCAATAACCAGTAACCTCCAGCGACCTCCAGAATAAGATGGCATGAGGTTAGCAGTCATACCAGCTCTTCTAAGTTCCGGTAGAGGCTCAGGAAGACAGAAAGGACAAAGCACTGTCCCACTGATGAGGAACTTCTAGGTGTGAGATTGTTGGACGCCGCTGAAAAGCACCATGACACCTAGGGATCGAGCGCCTCCCATTGGAGGCTGTGGTTGGACGCAAGACTGTGTCTGCCCCTTCCCATCCCCCCGGAAGGCTGCTTCTCCCTTCGGTGGATGCTGCTCTCGGCTTTTACAGACATAGCCCCCCCATCCCCCCCCAGCCCATGCCCACCCTCCATCAGCACCTCCTTCCTCCCCTCTGCCTCGAGACCCCAACGCCAGGAAATCCCAAGAGGGAGATGAATGGCAAAATGTAATTTTGCCAAAATTCTCATCGAGGACACGTGGAGATTAGAAGAGTCCTTACTGGAGAAGCCGGTTTTGTGGGGTTTCACTCTTTGTTCAGAGTGTCCAAGAGACATTAAGGAAGAGGAGACCCCGTCTGAGTCCAGCGGGTCTGCAGTAGGAAGAGTCTGCTTTGGGCTGGAGGCGTGCACAGCCTGTCACATGTAGTAAGCTCCTTCTCTCGAAGGAGAAGGTCCCACTGAACCCTGCTTGTTGGCGTGCACAGCCCGTCACAGTGTCTAGAAGATGAAGGTCTCACTGAGCCCTACTTGTTGGCGTGCACAGCCCATCACAGTGTCTACAAGGAGAAGGTCCCACTGAACCCTGCTTGTTGGCACCCGCAGAGTCTGGACATGACTGTTCTTTGAAGGATGAGTAGACCAAGAGTGAAGAACGCAGTGCCGGGAAATAGATAGCACAGCGAATGAGAGAATATTATGCTGAGGACCCAGAAAGGGAGCAGACCTCCAGAGACAATGGGGCAGAGGAAAAAACCACAGCCCAAGGGTAGGCTGTAAGGACAGGTGGCTTCCATGAGAAGGAGCAGAAGCCACAGGAGAAAACAGATTTCACAATAAATGCGAGAGAAAATGCGTCAAATAAGAATTAGAATCCGCACTGAAGATGATGAGTGTCTGTTTTCTGTAAGGAGTGGTGGGTCAGTGATGTGCTCGAGGAGTTTCTCAGGATGCAGAGGGACAAACTGATGAGATATTGGAAGACCCGAGTGCAAGCTAGGAATTACAGGTCTTTTTAAGGAGAATAATTGGAAAAGAAGTAACAATAAACAATGGTAGGAAAACCTCCTGTGTTGATAAAAGGCCTAAATACACATGTTGGAAGGCTCACTGAGAGGTGATCCATAGGCAGGAACAGGGTCAACGTAAAGTATCAGTGTGCTTTCAGAGCCCAGGAAATGGATTTTATTTCTCCTCTTTTTTCCTCCTCCTTACTTAATTGAGCATTTTTTATGATTCTGTTTTATGTCTATCGACTTATCACTTACAGCTCTTTTATATAAAAAAAAACAAACAAACCTTTTTTTAACATTTATTTTTGAGAGACAGAGACAGAGCATGAGCAGGAGAGGAACAGAGAAAGAGGGAGACACAGAATCTGAAGCAGGCCCCAGGCCCTGAGCTGTCCGTACAGAGCCCGACGCGGTCTGTAAGCTCAAACTTACAGACTGTGAGATCATGACCTGAGCTAAAGTCGGATGCTTCAACGGCTGAGCCACCAGGCACCCCATCTAGTGATGGCCCTGGGGCTTACTACATGTGTCTTTATTGAGCCAGCATGGGTCTCTGATATCACACCTCTCTGTGGGTGGTGTAGGAAGCTTAGCTCCTTCCTCTCATCCTGGATGTGTCTGCCATAGATTTTTCTTCATACGTGCTGTAAACACTCAGTGTGTTGTTATTTTTGCTTTTGACAGTTGTCTTTTCAAGCAATCCCACATCTCAAGAATGAGTTTCATCTCACCCTCCTTTATCCTGTGCTTCCCTTTTCTTTCTGTTGATCCAAGTTGCTGTCTGGTATTCTCTTGTGCCTGAGGACCTTCCTGTAACATTCTTGAAGAGTAGCTATGGTGGCAATGAATCCCTAAGAATTTTGTTTGTCTAAGAAAGTCTTTATTTCTCCTCCACTTTTGAATGCATCTTTACTGGGTGTAGCATTCTAAGGCCGGAGTTTTCCTTCAGCATGTCAAAGATGTCCCTCCATCATCAGCCAGATTTCTGACCAGAACGTGCCTAGATTTTCATCTTTGTCCCTGTGTGTGTAATATGTCTCTTCTCTGGCTGCTTCTAGGATTTTCTCTTTGACCTTTACGAACAATATGAATACGATATGTGGGTTTCTTGTCCATCCACCCCTACTTTTTAAAAAACTTTGTCCTGCTTGGTGTTCTCTGAACTTCTTAGATCTTATCATTAATTTAAAAATATTCTCAGCCATTATTTCCTGAAATATTTCTTTTCCCATGTTCTCTCCTCTCCTCAGATTCCAGTAATGTATGCATTAGACCGTTTGATATTGTCTTAACAGCTCCTGGATAATCTGTTCTGTCTTCTTTTCCTTCTTCTTCTTCTTCTTCTTCTTCTTCTTCTTCTTCTTCTTCTTCTTCTTCTTCTTCTTCTTCTTCTTCTTCTTCTTCTTCTTCTCCTCCTCCTCCTCCTCCTCCTCCTCCTCCTCCTCCTCCTCCTTCTTCTCCTTCTTCTTTTCCCTCTTTCTGTTTCAGTTTGGGTAATTTCTCCTGATCTATTTTCAAGTTCACTGTTTCCTTGGCTGTGTTGAGTCTAAGGATGAGCCCACTGAAGGCATTCTTTTTCTGTTACTATGTTTTTCTCCTCTGGCTTTCACATTTAGTTAGTTTTTTTTGTAGTTATCATCTCTTTGCTAAAATTATCCATCTGACCTGTGTGTTGCCCACCTTTTCCATTATAACCTTTAATGTGTTACTCATTGTTATTTTAAGTTCTCTGTGATCTAGTCGGCTAGTTCCAGCATCAATGCCATATCCTGATGGTGGTTTCGTCTTTTGGGAGTCTGTTGGGTGTTTTTTTGTTTTGTTTTGTTTTGTTTTGTTTTGTTTTGTTGTTGTTATTGTTGTTGTTGTTGAAAGCTGCTTATCTGATACAGGACAGTGGAGACTAAGGCCTGGAAATGGCTGTGCCTTGTCTTCTGGAAGGCCTTTCATGTGGGGCTTGGGTCACTCTAATCAGGGCTTGGGATTTGCTGTTGCTCTAGAGTTTCCTTGTTGATCCTGTGGGTTTGGGGGGTGGGGGCTCATTTGTCAGGGTTTCTTCAGTGTCTCTATGCTCAGCTTTGGGGCTCCCTCTGCACTTTTCCTCAGAGAGGTTGTTACCCAGTAGGTGGCTTGTTGCTTAATGCTCATTGGCCTGTTGGGGGTGGACTTTTGGGTTTCTGTTCTGATGGAGCCTGATCTCAGCAGGTCTTGGGGGTGATCCTGCCACTTTCCTGGCCAAGTCCCAAGCTTAGCACCTGTTCTTGCCCCGTCCCCACCAGGGGCCCTGGTTTTTATCTTTCCCTCATAGCTACACCCCCAGTCATCACCGGTGTTGTGAGGGTGAAGCGTGCATCCTGCCAGGTTAAGGCTTGTTCTGTAGGAAGACAGGGTGAAGGTCCCGGCCCAGGGGGAGCTCTGCACCAGGATGATTCTCTCAGAGTCGTGCTTCTGACGGTGGGCGGGGGTCCAGGAGAGAAGCCAGGAGAGGCCACCCCCCGCCACAGGTCACTGACCCGTCTCCTGACCTCTCTTGGTCCAGGGGTCTCCCCAGCCCACTGCTGGACCCGGGAATGTGTGCACTCGCCAGTGTCTCTGCGTGTG